CAGCCCAGCATTATTATGTGAGGGTCTCAGTCTCCCCTCTGTAAAACGGGAATAAAAAGTGAGGGCATTTATCAGTCAGTCAATTGGTGGGAGTAGGAAATGTAATTGTCAAGGTACAGAAATGAACATGGTACCTGGCAGTGCCTTGACAGATACCTCCCATCCTTAATATGACATGTTTGTCCTCATCATCACAGACCTAAGAGGCTAACCACAAAGTACTTTCCCTTTGACACTATCTTGTTTTTAAAAGGGGGAGACGTCAGTACACCCTAAAGATATCAAATCAGGCAAAATGCCACTGGTGTTTTTTTTTTTTTTCCTTCTTTTTCTCTGCTGAGCTTGATAGACTTGATGCTAGATTCTACCTGAGAGGCTAATCAAGAAGAAAGGCTAAGGACAGTCAGAAAAGAAAAAGAATGAGGTGGATTCGCCTTATCACATAAGCAAGCACATTATAAAACATAGCTGTAAAGCTGGCACATCACCAGCACTCAGTAAATATTTTTTTGGCATTTTTTTAAATACTTGTTTTGGAATAAAGCTACAATCATTAAACTGTAAAAATAATAGTAACGACAAAAAGCACTCTTCATGGCACCCTTGCTGAATGCCAGGCTCTGTGTGGAGAGCTTTATCACACATGAGTAGTCTCACTTGAACCCACAACAGTGTTTTTCACACTCAACTACAATTCAGTTCTGGATCACACCTGTAATCCCAGCATTTTGGGAGGCAGAGGTGGGAGGATCACTTGAACCCAGGCATTTCAGACCAGCCTGGGCAACACAGGGAGACTCTGTCTCTACAAAGAATTTAAAAAATTAACCAAGTGTGGTGGTGTGCACCTATAGACCCAGCTACTCAGGAGCCTGAGGCAGGAGGATCACCTGAGCCTGCCAGGAAGTTTAGGCTGCAGTGAGCCATGATTGTGTCACTGTACAGCCTGGGCAACAGAATGAGACTCTGTCTCAAAAAAAAAAAAAAAAAAAAAGGCATAGCTGTGACTGTCCTAATAAACTAACTTTGACTTTGGGCAAGTTAACTATGTGCTATGGTCCAAATGCTTGTGTTCCCCTAAAATCCAAATATTGAAACCTAACCCCTCACTGAGATGGTATTAAGAGGTAGGACCTTTGGGAGGTGATTAGGTCATGAGGTCCTTGTGAATAGGACCCTTATAAAACAGGCCCAGTGGAGTCTGTTTGCTCCTTTTACCATGTGAGGACACAGCAAGAACCTACCACGTATGAGGACCTGGCTGTCATCAGACAGCCTATCTGCTGGCACCTTGATCTTGGATATCAAGGTGAACTTCAGAGCTATGAGAAATAAATGCTTGTTGTTTATCAGTCACATAGTTTATGCTATTTTTTTAATAGCAGTCCAAAGAGACTACGAAACTATGTCTCCCAATCTGTAAAATGCCATAACAATAATAGTCTCTACCTGCCAAGAAAGGTGCAAAGATTAGATTTTGTACCTGGAGCTAGGACCAGAGAGTCTGGCACAGAGCCAAGTCTCAATAAAGTGGTACTATCATGCCTATGCAACAGAATCACTTCCGCATTTGCAATGAGTATTACTCCCACATATTTGAGAGCCATAAGACAATAAAAATAAACTCATCACATCTTGTCCTGAATCAAGCACTCATATTCCTTACAAGGCGGACTGATTACCGCAAAGGCCCCTAGTTGAGAAACTCAGTCAAATTCAGTACTCCACCACCAGCAGTGCTTACTTTCCAATCACTCTGGGACTTGTTTTTCTGCTGGTTGCTTTCCCTTTGCCTGAAGCTCCACTACTCTAAAAATTAACATTAAAAAAAAAGTCAAACATTTCCTTCAATCCTCCTCACAACCGACTGAAACTTCTCCAGTGCCAAAAAAGTTTCTAAGAGATTTTTTTTTTAATTACCTAAACAAGCACTGCTGGGTTAATAATTAATTCTAAGAATTAATTATAAAACTATGCATGAGAAAAGTAAAAATTCAAACAGAAAAAAAAAATGCCTTTCATCTTCGCCTAATGGATTCATTATCAGTCCTCCTCTTTAGAGGTATCAGTGTTAGGTTTCTTATAAATTGATATATACAGATGAAAATGTGTGTGTGTGTGTACATTTGTTAACACACACATACACACAACTTTACTCCACTGTACTAACTTTACTCCACTGTGGACATCTTGCTTTTCTCAATCCTCTACCTTGGAACTCTTTTAAGATCAACACCCTCTTTCTAAGAGCTGCATAACTTTCCACCAAATGATTTAGGCCATAACTTAAATTTCCCATTTTTGTATATTCAGGTCATTTATGCTTTTTTGTTATAAATGATGATGCAAAAATCATCATCTTTACACATATATCTTTGTAGGCAGAAATATAATCCATATAATACAAATTATAAATTGGAAAAACAAGAAATGGTCAGATGAAAGAGTTTATAGACTTCCAATTTTTTTAAGGGAAGCATTTTCTACCTATGTATAAAGATTTCTAATCTTGACAGCTACTGTTGAATTTTCCAATATGAAATTTTCAGATGTTTTGATCCTTTATGCTTCCATGACCAATGCAGAGGTGTCTGTTTCATCACTCCTGCACCAGCAATTGATGCTCAGTTCATATTTATCAACCTCACTGGTTAAAAAAAATGGCATCTTATCATCATTATGATATGCATGTCTTTCCTTATAAATTAGGTCAAGTAAATTCAGTTGCCCATTTATATATCTCTTTCTACTCACTGCCAATTTCTGAATCATTGACTCTCTTTGAAAGTACTGTTGGGAAGGTTATCAAGAAGCCTTATGATGACCAAGGACATCATATCATATTCTCATCATCCTGGCAATATATGGCACCAAGAACCACCAACTCCTTCGGGATTCTCTTCTCTCTTCCCTGCCATGACCATTTGCTGTGATGGTTCTCCTCCACGGACTGCAGGCCAATCTTCTCCCTAAATCCTAATGACGGGCATATCCCAATGTCCAATCCCTGCCTCCCTTTTCTTCTCACCTAACACCCTTAAGTTGTGGTTTATGTGCAAAAGATTTCCAAATGTTGATCCTCAAATCACCTGAGACCTAAACCCATGTTTTCAACTTTCTGCTGAACACCTCTAGCAGAGGAATGGATGTCCTTCCCATACTTCAGATAATGAACAAGGTCAACGGGCATGAAGCACTTAATCTGTGCTTATACTTGACACTTACTGCATCTCACGTAATTCTCCACATCCAAAACTGTCCACTTTCCTCAAATCTGGTTCACCTGCTTGAGCACCAAACCTCAGTTAATGGCTCTACACTCACATCCTTCCCCCTTCTTCTCATCCAGATCCTGCCAATTCTGCCAATGAATGGTCTTCGTATATCTATCCTGCCTTCCCATTTCTACCTCTGGCTCAGACTGCTGATCACTTGCCTCTTACGTCAATCTTGACACTGCCAGAATTCTCTCCTGGAAATATAAATAACATCACCTGAATCTGCCTCCTCCACGTACCTGGGCTCCAGACCTACGCTGGCAAGACACTGAACTCATAGGTCCTGTCCCAGCAGGTCCAATATTTAAGAAGACTCATGCCAATACATAATTCCTTTCTCAACAGATCACTGGCTCACCAGGCCTCGTTCCCCTTGTATCCCAGACAGTGCCCAGCACAATTCTATGTGGTTGGCAGGTGCTTTATAAATACTTTCTAAGTTACACAGTACAATTTTCTAGCATGTGCTCATATTATTCCAAAGACGAAAAAGAACTTCTATACACATGAAAATCCATAATAAAGAAAAAGCTTTCTAAAGTTTATCTTCTACGATTGAATGTACACAGAAACATAAACATTCCCTTAGAGCAAAAAAGTCAAAACCTTACTCTAAATAGCATTAGAAATAACTCAAAAGTCACAAAAAAGCAGATTTCAGAAACACTGGGTTTTAGTGATTACAAACCAAAATAATGATTCCCGACTTGCCAAGAGAAAAAAACAAATTCAGGTGAGTCAGGTAAGGTTCTGGAAATCTTTTGATTTTATGGTCTTCAGATGCCCCAATCAGGCATCCGAACTACCAAACATTAACCTCCACAAGCTGACATGACAAAAGCAAAAAGGCCATGTCACATCACGGTAAGTCGAATACCCACCAACTGGGTCGAGAAATCAATAAAATCAAGTGGCTCTGTGTGAACTGTGCCCATCAACTCGGAGGACACATCCCATTTAGGTCTACTCTATTCTTTAAGGTCAAACCCATTTAAAAAGTAACTTTTCCAAAGAATCTTTCTAAACTGATTAAAAAGAGGTCACTCAAAAGGAAGCACAGACTATTTTTCAGTGAAGAGAAGGACTCTGAAAAGCATTACTTTGTATAAATACATAACAAGATTAAATTCTGTGTGTAACACGCTTCCTCTCTCAACATCAGCATATTTCCAAACACGTGTAAAAAGCGTCCTTGACTTTTTCCTAGGAGTCAGGACTTTGTCAAAGTTTTCCCATCCACTCTCTAACATTAAGTTAGGAGTCGCCATGTTATCGATTAGACATTCAGGGAATCAAAATCATCTCTAACTAAAAAATTAAAAAGTTATTAAGAGAACTTCTGAGTTGGTAGAAATTAGGGGTTCGCCTGACAGCTTGTGATGCCCCCCTCAGCACTCTCACCTTCCCCCCAACTATTTCACATCTTCACGGAAGTGTTCCCTTGATGCTTTTTTAAAAGGGGAACAAGAAAATCTCAAATAAATAGGAGGGAGAGAGTTTATAGAATCTTCTCCTTTACCACCAGGGTCTCCTCCAGGGCAATGTGAACGGGACAGCTGTGCACGAAGTCCGCCAGGCCCCCAGAGGCCACAGCCTGGGCCCGGTGGGCCGGGGAACAGCCAGTGACACTTTTAGGTCCAGGCTGGCTTTGGGGGAGCTGGAAACAGGCTCCCTCTGGGTGGGAGCGCGACGAGGGGGCGGGGCGCGGGCGGCCCCACTCACCTGCGATTCAAGGGCCGGACCCTCACGGCCACCTTGACCGATGCCATTGCTCATCCCGACCTAGCCCGCGCGGGGTCCCACCAGCCCAGAACTCCGCGGCAGCCGGCGACCAGGGCGACTCAGAGCGCGGCTCCCGCCCACTTCCCTCTCGCCTCCGCCCCTCTGCCTCGGGCCGGACCTGGAGTTCCGCGGCGGCCCCACCTGCCAGGCCACTGAGCATGCCCAGAGCGGCTCCGGCCCGCGTGATCCGCGCGCCGCGGTTTTGCGGCGGCCGGGCGGCGCAGAGGGGCGGGGCCGCAGGGCCTGGGTGCCGCCTCCGCGGTCGCCAAGTCTGGAAAGGCCACGTTGTGGACCGCGGCGCAGAGGTTATGAAGGGCGACCAGGGGCGGATGATTTCAGGAAAACTAGAACTCACTCTCACAGCCTGAAAAACTGGAGAGAAGAGGGTCCCAGCAAATAAAAGCCAGAGGCAAGAATCACAATCCTGGGGTCAGATGACCAAAGCCAGCTTTTCAGCCCTTAACAAGGACCTGGCTTCACCCAGACAAGCATGAATTAACTCATCCATTTTACACACGAACAAACTGAGGCTCGGCTCAGAGATGATCACAGCTTGTTAGTGGCGAACTCCGCTAGGGTCTTCTCTGCTGCCGTAAGGAGGTCCAGGCGTAGGTTTTGGACCCCTTAACTCAGGATATCCAGAAATGAAAATTAATAGGGTATTGGATGTTGTAAATGTGTGCGGGAATGTCGTTATATTGGCTGGAATCAAATCTTATTTGGACTTGTTTTGAACTTTTGTTACAGTTTAGTAATTTTTACTTTTATTCATAAGGGAGTTAAAGGCAAGGACAACTGGTATCTTAAGGCTTAGGGCCTCTGGTAGAAGTGAGCGCCACTTCCCCTCCTGTGTAGAATGCAAACCCATTCATTCAGTGAATCAGGCATCCGTGAATTCGTTTACATACACCCAGAAGCCCATCAGGAGCAGAACCTCCAGGAAGCCAAGCTATATTGGGGGACTCGAATGGAGGCGGAGCTCCTCTTTTGAAGTCCTGGCTCCAAAACTAGCCTTGTCAGCCCTCCATTCTGAATTACTGGGCGCCTCTGAGGCTTCTTGCCTCACCTGCAAATCAGGACAAACGGCATGGAGTTGGTGAATGTATTGTGAGATGATGTCTGCAAATACGCAACCCGCTTATACAAATAATTATCTTCATCACCTTCCCTGGACTCCTAGGGCCAGCACGGAATCATAGCACCCCTTTGTTTCTAGAGCATGGAAATCACTAGGTTTTCCCTCTGTCTGGAGCAGATCTGGGTGCGAATTTGACCAACGGGTAGCAGGAAAACCCGGAGCAGGGTATTAAGGAGCAGGCGAGCGGGCCAAGCATGCGCAGTAGCGGCCGGTTGGTTTGAGAAGCCGCCAGGGAGCCAGCCCGGCGCCCTAGCTGCCCCGGGCAGGGGCGGGGCCGGCCTTATATGGGAGCTGCGTGGGGACAAACTGCGTGGGCTCAAGGCGCGGCGCGGCGCGGGGGCCGGGCGGAGAGACAGCCACCTGGGGGACAAGGCGAGTGGACGCCAGGCCAGTTTTTAAGGACAACAGTATTCAAACTTTTCAGGAGTGCTAGCTTACTCGTGACAGCGATTTTCTGTATCGGGGTTTTATTGGTCGGTGGTTTAGGAGGTTTTGCTCATTCATTGGTTAATGTAATTCCAACCGCCTACACGTTTATAAGCCCACAGTCTATCCACGACTTTGCCGTCTAACACAAAACAGACCATCGCAACCCGGCAGACACTTTAGACAACAAACAGCATGCCTGGAGCTTTTGAATAGGAAGCAACAAGGCTTCATCATCGCAGACGGGACGGAACGGGCACTTTATTATCAGAAAGTATTTCTATTGGAGTGTGAAGGAAGTTTCTGAAAGGGAAGATTATTGTAAGATAAGGGGTTTGCTCATCTTCTCAAACTTTAGTGTGCCTGCTTTAAAGGGCTTTGCAAACTTGAATGTTTATAGAAATCACCTGGCGGTCTTGTGCAACTGCAGCTTCTGATGGGCAGATCACAAGGGAAGCCTGAGACTCAGCAGCTCCAGCACGCTCCGGGAGTGAAGCTACTGCCGCTGCCACCCTCCCCGCGAGGAGCCAGGGGATAGATGACCTCTAAGCAAACTGTGAGATCTTTAAAATACTGACAGTGAAAAACAGTCACAGGAGCTCTAGGCCAGGCACGGTGGCTCATTCCTGTAATCCCAGCACTTTCGGAGGCCAAGGAGGATGGATCTCCAGACCTCAGGAGTTCGAGACCAGCCTGGGTAACACGGTGAAACCCTGTCTTTACGAAGAAGAAAAAGAAAAATTAGCCAGGCATGGTGGCGTGTGCTTGTAGTCTCAGCTACTCAGGAAGCTGAGATGGGAACAATCGCTTGCGCCTGCGAGATGGAGGTTGCAGTGTACTCCAATCTGGGTGGCACAGTGAGACCCCGTCTCAAAAAAAAAAAAAAGAGAGCTCAAAATCCGGGGCCCAAAAGGTCAGTAATAGAATTCAGGAATCCGTATCAGTTATGTGCTGATGCATAAAAATAATGACCAAAACTGTGGAAGCTTAAAAACCGGTTATTTCTCTGAATTCTGTGGGTTGCTGGTGTCACCTGACCTATGTGGCTGGGGTCTCGGCTCAGTTGGGGTGAGGAAAAGTTGGTGCATTTTGCTTTTTCATCCTCAAAAAGTTTAGTCCAGGTTCCAGGTTTCTTGCGGTGGCACGCCACCTCTCCAGGAGAAGTGTGCATAGCAATTGTTGGACTCACCTTTGCTGACCTTCCGTTGACCAAAGGCGGTCACATGGCTACGCCCAGTCAATGTGGGAGGGGCCTCCCACCAGGCGGGAATGGGTACTCAGGGGAGCCACTGAGTAACAAACCTAAGATCACATTTATTTTCTAATACTTTGATAGTTATAGTTCATATAATTGTTTTTCCTTGTAATCCCATTTATTTTATGCATTTAAAATGTTATCCTGAAAATGTTCTTTCCACCAAACAACCAAAAAAAGATTTAAGAATCTATTATTTTAAAATTTAGTTGGATGGATAAAAGACTTTTTTTTTTTTTGAGGTGGAGTTTTGCTGTTGTTGCCCAGGCTGGAGTGCAGTGGTGCAATCTCAGTTCACTGCAACCTACACCTTCCAGTTTCAAGCTATTCTCCTGCCTCAGCCTCCCAAGTAGCTGGGATTACAGGCATGCACCACCATGCCCGGCTAATTTTTGTATTTTTAGTAGAGACAGGGTTTCACCATGTTGGCCAGGCTGGTCTTGAACTCCTGAACTCGTGATCCACCCTCCTCGACCTCCCAAAGTGCTGGGATTACAGGCATGAGCCACCGTGCAGGGCCGACATCTTTATTTTCTAAGAAGATTGAATTGAGAAGAGAAAATTCGGAGACCTGGATTAAAACCCAAATGGTCTCAAATAGAGTATAACCCTGTCACCAAGATGCATGTGTGCATGGCCCTGGGGGCGGGGGATGTGGTTGCTTGGTTTGTTTTGATGTAGTTTATTTTGGCCTTCATTTGTTGTTGAAGTTTTTTTCTGATGTTTAGCAACCTTTTTTAAAAAACTTTTTTTTTAATCTTTTTTACATCCCTTTTTAATAAACTTTTTTAATTGCTGAAAACTTTTGAGTGATTTAAACTCTCTGAGTCTTAGCTTCTTCATTTTGAAGTGAAATAGCACTGTAATAGAATGTTCACTCCATCTCAAAACATTTGAATCATCAGGGAATACTGTTATCAGAAGAAATATACTGTATTCCCATGAGCTATGCTTTTTCTTTATAACTTGACTTTTTAAAAACCCTGACGAACATCAGACTGCCACACTTAAACTGGGACAAAGGATACAACTGACACCTCATAAACCCGTCTGTTTTCCTGTACTGACCATAAGCATTATATCACATGGTACACTTACTATCTCCTACAGGAGTGCCTTACACCAAGGGACTCACATTAAATTTAAGAGCTATATGGTGAGACAATGAGAAAAACAAGTGTTTTCCTGGTTTTCAAATAAATGTATAATAAATAATAGTACCAGACACAGAAATCATAGATACCAAGTTCAAACCCAACACCATTTTTTTTTGAGACAGAGTTTTGCTCTGTTGCCCAGACTGCAGCGCAGGGGTGCAATCTCAGCTCACTGCAACCTCCAACTCCCAGGTTCAAGCGATTCTCCTGCCTCAGCCTCCCAAGCCACTGAGATTACAGGCGCCTAATTTTTGTATTTTTAGTAGAGATGGGGTTTCACCACGTATGCCAGGCTGGTCTCAAACTCCCGGCCTCAAGTGATTCACCCGCTTTGGCCTCCCAAAGTGCTGGGATTACAGGCGTGAGCCACCCTGCCCAGCCTACCATTTTCATTTTCTAAGTCACAAAATTTAAAGTATATTTAGAATTGTCTAAAATACTAAACATTAAAAGCAGGGATAATTTGAAAAAGTGTACTTTGGGGCCAGAGAGAAAACATGAGCTAATCACAAAAATCATACTTAGTAATTTTAGTAAAGCTTTAGTCAGGTAGCCATGAATACCAGCTTTCTTTTACAGCAAAACTGAATAAAGAAATCACAGTAGATTCAATTTAATAGAAGCTATCACCCTAAATCATAGTCATTTAATATACTAAAATGAAAAAGATTGTTTTCAATTGCATATAACTGTATGCAACTATGTGTGTATATATATATATACACACACATATGTAACTATATATTTGGTCACACATAGTTCATAACTGGTAGACTTTGTAGAGTCTGTGCCCTCATTTTAACTTCTGAAGAGTGAGAAACCATATTTATTTGAAGGGATAGGGAAAGTTTCATGGATGAATTAGTTTTGGAGATCCATCTTGAAGGACGGACAGAATCTGAATCCCAAAATGGTGAGGAGGTGACCTCTAAAGCAGAGGAACTTCCTTGAACAAATGTTTGGTGTTGGAAAAGCAAGTCCTGTTTCTGGAATTGTGAGAAAGCCTCTTTACCTGAAGCACAGTGTGAAGCTTAAAAATACTCGTAAATGCTGCTCTTTCCTGGACTCATACCTTGCAGTGTCATTTTGCAGCTCCCCTCAATGGGAAGTGGAATCTCTTTCTCCACCTCTTCAATATGGCTGACCCTAGAACTTGCCTTGGCACACAGAATGCAGCAGAAT